AATTTAAATAAAAAATTAATTAGACCATCAAAATCAACTACGAGTTGTACTAGATTTTATGTTAACAAAGCTTTAGAATAAGAAAGAGAGCTCCTAGATTAGTAATAAATTATAAATCACAAAAAAAATATTTGTTTGCTTGATCATAAAAGTAGTGGAACAGTTTTTTAAGTGGAATGTTTAAGCCTTATTTTTTGGGTGTGTTGATGCTTGTTTGCTTGATCATAAAATATAGTTTAATGTATAACCTTGTTTTAGATTCAGTATCTTATGAAATCCACATAGGTCTTAGCTTTCAACAACTGATAAAATGGTTCGTCACTACAAAGGTAAAACACACAAGTTTGCTTTTGCCAGGTATTGATTTATACAAGTATTTGACACTTGTATGTATGTGTGTTATAGGCATTTAACAAGGATAGCAATTTGTTACTTATTAGCATGAGAATAATGAGTATTATTCTTAAGCTTTTGGATTTTATGTTGAGGACAGAAGGAAAAACAAAGGATTAGTGATCATTAACTCTTGTTTAGAAATTAATTCAATATGTGGGGAAGGGGTAGGGTTTTTTTAAAATCCTCAAAACTCTCTTAAATTTGTTTTCTTAAGTTTTCTCATTTTGAAGATTTTAGTAATTCATTCAATGAGGTTTATTATTTATATTTCTGTTTGTTAGATTAAATATTTAGCATAGTTTAGAGTTAGACTAATATATATATATATCTATATATATATACCACGGTTTAAAGTAAGAATTTTTTAAAAAATTATAAGAATAGAAATAGATATTTTAAAAATATTTTTTTGAAAAAAAAGATAAAATGATATACAAATAAAAATTATAAAAGAGTAATAATATCATTTATATGTTAAACTATTTGGTACTCTTCCTTTTTAGTATTAAACATTCAAATAAATATTTACGCTTCTTTCTCCTCTTTTTTTTTTTCTTCTTCCAAGCCCTTTTTTTCTCCTTTCTTTTAAACTTTCAAACAAAACCTTAAAAAATTGAACTCAATTATTAATTTACTAACATTTTACTGTTTGGAAAGAATATTGACATGAAGGATTGAATTTGCATTTATGAATAATAGGAGAAAAACATATCAATATTTTCTCAATTCTCTTCTTAATTATTTTATTGGGACAATTTCATGATACTAATAGTTTAATTCTTGATCAAAATTGATTACGCAACTGTCAAAATTATGCTATTACACGATAATGTGTTAAGTCTTGTCAAATTACGTGACATTAATTACTCTTCTAATGTCTAAGATGATCATGATTCATAATTTAGTTTGATTAAATGAACTAATTTTTTTAACTAAAATTAATTAATAAGTTTTTTTTTTCTGGGTAATATCACATTCAAATTATTCATAAATTAATTAAAGAGATAATAATGACGATGATAAATAACAAAAATATTAATCTCTACTTTGTTTTCAAAGTAAAACTAATATTTTAAGACACTAATTAAAAAATTAAAATTATATTAAAATATAATAATGTACTAACTTTTATGATTTTTAATATTTTTTTTCAATAAAAACCATTATTTAATAATTTTTAATAAGTATTCTAATAGCTCAATCAATTATAAATTTAATTGAAATTTTTATGAAAAATATGTCAACTAAAATTATTACAATTATTTTTTTGCTAAAAATTAATACTGCAGTAAAAATTAAATTATTATAATTCTTAATTTTATTTTTTCAAATTTCTAATCTTAAATATTTTTTAAAACGTGTCAATATTTCATAAAATATCATTTCAAAATTCAAACTTAAAAGTACTAGGCTCACTTCAAAAGCGAAGATGCTGTTATTTGTAAATATTTCATAGCATTATTATAAATTTGTTTTATAAAGAATATCATCCATAATTAAGAAAATAATTTTTAAAAATATATTATTAAAATAAAAAAAGGCAGATTTATAATTTTGAAAGCGAAAAGACATGTTGGTGTGACGGATGTGTTATGATTGTTGATATGTATGGAACTCAATTATCCGGTGATCGAGCCAATTACAACTAAGCAATTTGTTGTGGTCTTCTGTTCAGTGTTAAGTTTCTAGATTTTTAATCTCTTACTTATTTTGCCCTTCAATATTCTTCTAATATTAGTTCATTACATTGATTTTCCTTGTCATTTGCTTTGGAATATAAACTAGCTAAGTTCGACTGTTATCGCGTAGCTATCAAAAATCACAACCGTATATATTATCTTCACCAATCGACAGTGGTAGCTAGATATTTATAGAGCTCGATTTCAGAATTTTGTTATAATAATGATAATTTATTTCTTGTGTTTTTCAATTATTGAAAATGATCAAACTTCTTATTAATTAATTTAAAAGGTAACAATGGATGTTATCTTATTTGGAAAAAAAATATTTATTATTTCTTTGATAAAAACAAATTACTTATTTCATAAGTTTATGAGCCAATCCAGGAGGAAAGACTAAAATGTTATAGAAATTTTTTTATGTAAGATTAGTTAAATAAAAAAAACTCATTTATCCAACAATATACATTGTTATTATTTTTACAAATAATGTTGTATTCCTTTTTTAGTAAAATCTGTATTTATCATTTTTAAAGTTTAAGATAATGTTAATTATTTTGATAAATTAAATCCTTAATTTAAAACAAAAAGTAATAAGTAGTAACAGCCATAAAAGAATAACAAAAAATTAAGTGATAATTTTGACTAAAACGGTAATATCAAATTTATTTTTTAATTCCAATGTCAAAATTTTAATATGATAAATAAAAGTGGAAATATATATTATATGTGTTTATGATTATGACAAATGATCATTGTCTTATGATCCTTCCACGAATCCTGTCAAAAGGGGCTTAATGTGTGGCGCATTACACGTTTGGTGACTAATATTCCTTTTTCTGGATTTTTAATGTATTTTGCTTTTTCTCCATTTTTTTTTACAATGTATGCTCAATAGATTGATTGATTTACTCTCTCATTTTGTTTGGCATTTCAATTAGAAAAGGGCATCTGTAACGTATGTTAATTTTTTACGTATTTTAAACAAAATCAAAATTTATTTTAATAATTTACAATAATATTAAATGTCAATTTTTTATTCAAATAAAACTTTAATTTTATCTAAAAGTAACACTAAAATTATATATATAAAAAATGCAAGCAAAATTTATTCGTTTTAATACCGTCGCTCTCTTGCTGAGCTGCGTGAGACAATTCGTCCAACTATCTGTGAGTCAACAACAACAAAACAAAACAAAAATTTGTACCTATCTTTTTTTCTTTTATTAGTTCTCAATGGTATTTAATTCACTAATGTGTCAGAAGAAACTATTACAGCGATTTTAAAATTGCAAGATGAGCTAAAAAGAAATATCTATTCATTAAAAAACTGCAATAATATTAATTTAAATCGACACAAATTTGATCAAAATAATAATTATAATAATTTATCGAATACTTTTGAACAGCTATTCGGGGTTTTTTTTTTGTTTTTTATCAGTTTGGTGCAAATTTTAATATTATAATTAAAAATGTGAATTTTTCTTAATTGAGAAGAAATAAACAAAAAAGAAAAGAATGAAGGCAAATCTTGCCAAGGCCCTCCTGACTCTATCAACAAAACGACTCGGGATTGATAATTCAAGTGGCGCAGATTGCAAGTTTACGCGTCTCTTCGTTCTTCCCCTCTTTTTTTTTTTATAAAAAAAATATATTTTATTTATTTTTGAAATTTTTAATTAATAAATCTCAATTACATTTATATAATTTTAATAAATTTTAAATAAAAATGCATATATATTAAAATATGTTTCTAATATTCTTCATATTCTTTTTTTATGATATTTTCATATTAATTTTGTTAACTTTAATTCTTAGAGCCGAGGTTAAACAATTAATAATATTAAAATTTTATTATATTATTGTATATTTTTTTTATAAAAAGTTTTTATTTATGAATGCTTAAACTTAACTTGAAGGGTTGAGATTAACAAAATCTTAATAATAATGTGACTAACTATTTTCTTTAGAAAAAATTTTCTATTCAAATGAGGTAAATTGTAACATAATGCACCTGTTAAGTGTTAATTTTGATTGTTGTGATTATGGGTTGAATGTTTAATTGTTCAGACGATAATGATAGTATCTTATATGTGAACGGTGACTATTTTTTTTTTAAGTAATAGAAAAGAAGACCAAAACATGCTATTAAAAGATTTTATTGAAACAAAGATGAATCGTCAAGAATGTAAAGAAAAAAGAATCTATAAATCGACTCCATCGTCAATGACTTATTAGTTTAATTAAGATTAAATTAACAATAAATTGATAATACTTAACTTTGTATTTTAATATTATATAATATAGTTACTAATAATTTAATATAAAATTATAAAATATTTAAATTAATATATAAGTTTATATTGCATATTTTATAAGATAAAAAAATCATAATAAATAATTCAATAATAGTAAATCATAAATAGATAAAATGTGTGAATTTTTTTATTTATTTTTAAAAAAAATTATAGAATGAAAATATTTAAAAAATTAAAATTTATTAAATAATTAGTTCAAACAAATTTTTCTACGTGAGTTCTTGACTAATTTTTAGTAGTTTTGGCTGGTTTATGCCTGGTTTTGTCAATTTTCACTCCTTTAAGTTTTTAGATTATCTGGACTAAGATCGACCTTACCAATTCCCGATCCAATTAATTGAACAATCTGTTTCATTTTTTTAAAACAATGGTCTAAACAAAGAAATGTGTAAAAAAATAAAACATAGTACTTCAGCTTTTAAACAAATGAGTTGAAAGAAAAGGGAAAAAAAAAAAGAGACTTTGATGCATATTTTCAAGCCAATCCTACACCAGTTTAAGTGTTTGAGGGGGCATTGGATCATTGATCATTTATACCGTGATTGTCTCCATGAATAGTGTTTTGAATGCTATAAATACCCCAACTCTATGCTGCTTTCTCACAGCCATTTCCATACAAAATATCTTTATCTCAAAAGAAAAATGGCTATGGCAATTGAAATGAAGCATCTTACTGCTGTTTGTGTTATATTCTGGACATGTGCGTTCCCAGCCATGTCCCGAACGTTGTATGAATCTTCTGTTGCTAAAACACATCAGCAGTGGATGTCTCAGTATGGACGCTCCTACGTTGATGACGCTGAGAAGGAGAAACGCTTCAAAATATTTATGGAGAACTTGGAATACATAGAGAAATTCAACAATGCTGGGAATTACAGCTACAAGTTGGGCCTGAACCAGTTTTCGGATTTAACTGAAGAAGAGTTCATTGCTTCACATACCGGATTCAAGATTAATTCAAGGAAACCATACTCGTCATCCTCCGCTCCACTCTTGAACCTGAGAGATGTTCCAGAAAGTTTGAACTGGAGAGAGAAAGGTGCTGTCACCAAAATTAAGGACCAAGGCCGATGTGGTAAGTAAAGAACTCTAGCTCTTATATAATAACAGTGCAGCCTGTCATAATCATAAAGTATTAGCATGTTAGTATTCTTTTATTCCGGGTCAGTTTAAATGAATACTTTAGTTAAGTGTTATAAAAAATAAAATGAATTAAAGTAAAGATAGAATAAGTAAACAGTGTTATAAATTTATATCGATTTCTGTATTTTAATATATTTTTGTATTAACTCTTTCATTGTCCTGAAAATCAATTAATTGTATGGTTCAACTGTTTGCAGGGAGCTGCTGGGCATTTTCAGCTGTCGCGGCAATAGAAGGCATAAACCAAATCAACACTAAGAAGTTGATCTCATTGTCAGAGCAACAGCTAGTGGACTGTGATACGAAAAACGACGGGTGTAATGGAGGCCTCATGGACACTGCTTTCAAATATATCATACAAAACCAGGGCATCGCCATGGAAAGAGATTACCCATACCAAGGAGCTGCTGGAACATGCCAGAATGAGATGACAGCCGCAGCTAAAATAAGTGATTTTGTAGATGTAGCTCAAAACGATGAAGAACAACTTCTACAAGCTGTGGCCAATCAGCCAGTGTCAGTTGGCATTGCTGTGAATAATAACTTTCGCCAATATAATGGAGGGTTATTTGAAGGACCATGCGGAACTCATCTCAATCATGGGGTTACTGTAATTGGTTATGGGAGTGAAGACGGCAAAAAGTACTGGTTGATCAAGAATTCATGGGGTGAGCAGTGGGGAGATGGTGGATTCATGAAGTTGCTGAGGGAAGGTGGTGATCCTCAGGGTCTTTGTGGCATCGCTATGCAAGCTTCTTATCCGAAGATCTAGTTTCCTATGAAATTTATACAATCTCGGATCAGTTCGTGCGGCTTTGTTGTTTTAGTAATAATAGGTTTACGCATACTGTCTCGAAATCAAGTTTTCTGTCTTTTTCCATATTTCCAAATTAGGTTTTGTCTCATTTAATATGAATTTTCAAGTTATTAGCATTGTATCGGGATTGAATCTATCAATCAATAAATTATAGATATTTATAAATTATGAGTGTATTTTAGAAAATATTTTACCTTTATTAGTTGAAAAGTTCGTTTGCAAAAGTAATATTATTTGATTTAAGCAGTTGAAATATGTTGTTATTAGCATTAGTAACTTTTTTTCAAAGCTTTTAGTAATCAGGAAAAGTAATTTTTAAAAAATTTTGTTCCTTTTATTTTTTCAACGATTCCTCTTCTTTTCCCTTCAATATTTAACATTTTACTATTTTTATCTATCTTACGCTCAACTTTTTAAATCATTTTTATTATTAAATTTTATTATGATATAAACATTATTAAATATTTTTTATGATATAAATTCATTAAAATAAAAATATAAATTAATTTATATTGTCTTATTTTATTTTTTAAAATATTTTTAAATAAGAATAAAATTTATATTTATATTTTTTAAATAAACGATTATTAAATTTTAAATTAAAAATTAATGTTTATATGAATAGTTTAATTTTTATTCAACAAAAATTATTCCTTCCGATTCTTTTTATAAAAAATAAAATATTAAATTATTACGACTAAAGAAAATAATTAAATTAATTCTATTTTTTTAAATATAAATTTTATTTTAAAAATATTTATATTATTAAATGTTGTAGTTAATAATTTGTATATTTAATAATACTAATAAAAAAATTATAATAAAGACAAAATAATTTTTATTTTATTTTTCATAAAAAAACCATAGAGAATATATAAGTAAAATTTAACTTATCACTTAAGTATTCAGATATAGCATTTAAAAAAAAGTATTTTGATCCCCTAGTTTAGTCGTTTATATACTCACTCTTCAAAAAAAAAATGGTGGATGGATTCTTTTGAGTTTCAAAAGAATCCTAAATTTAAACAGTTAACATTTCATATTTGACACGAACTATTCTATTGTTGAATTCTTTTAGTTGATAACCATATTAGGAACATAATAAAGTAGAATTACGCAACAAACTATTCTATTGTATAACTTTCGTTGAATGAGGAAATTACCACCCATTTCAGTGAACTGTCTCCAACCTGGCCACGGTGAGAGTTTATACGTAGGATACCGCTGGTATCCATGCAGTTTTGAAACCCTATCCCGATTCTCTTCCAACCGCTGCGCCGCGCTTCCATTATTCACAAATTAGGCTCTTGAGGATTCACCAGTAGGTGTAGGCATCACATGAATCACTCTAGGTATCTGAGGGCTTGGTGCCCCAAGAGAACTGGATCTTTTACTTTGAGAAGGGTAAGGTATATTCATCATATCTACAGGTTGAACAGAAAATGAAATTCCATAATTCATGTTTTGTTTTCTTAAAATCTTTTTTTCATGACCCAATAAACCTCTTCTACCCACTAAATTTCTCACAAGTTGTTCCTTCTGTCTTTGACGGAGAAAACTATGATTTTAGACTATTAAAATGAAGGAAACTAGAGTTAGCTGGAAACTTTGGATCCTTGGAAGATTACGCAATTCTTTCACTGCCACACAATTCTATTATGGCTCAAATAAAAATTCAAAAGAAGAGAAAAATACCAAAGGCAAAATCATGTCTTTTTATTAGTGTTTTAACAACTATCTTCAATAGGATCATGATTTTAAAATAGCAAAAATAATTTGAGATTATTTAAAGAAAGAATACACCAAGAGTAAAAGAAAGAATATGCAAGTACTAAATTTGATGAGAGAATTTAAACTCTTAATAATGAAAGTGTCTTAGACAATCAAAATATTTTCAAACAAGTTTCTTGACATAGCTAACAAGGTAGGATTATTAGGCACTGAATTTCCTAATTCTAAAATTGTAAAAACAATCTTTGTAATAGTCCTCAAAAGATTTGAAACTACTATCATCAAAATATATATTTGTCCAAAATCACATTATTGAGACTCTTAATGCCTTATAACACAAGAACGAAGATGTGCAATGAGACAAAAATGTATTGTTGAGGGATTCTTACATGTCAATATCATGAAAGTGCAAGATTCAATAATAATAAATCTTATCTTTCATGTTATCATTGTGTAAAAATAGTCATCCTTTGTTTAAATGTTGGAGGAGACTTGATGCACAATTTAATAAATGCAACCAAGTGAGACATGAAGATGTTAAATGTAAGACTAAAAAATTAACTTCAAGATGAAGAAGCTAAGATTTTTTATTAAGAGAAAGATAATTTTTTTTGTTATTAATTGTTTCTTATACTTTAAATCAAATGAAGGTTGACTAAATGATACTTTGATAGCAGTACTAATCACATGACTAACAACAAGAAACTCTTTAGATATTTGGTGAAGGGTAAGAAGAGAAAGGGAAAAAAAAGAGAAATTTTTTTTACAAAATTCAAAGGAGAAAGAAAAAATATCACGAAGGCATGAATAAAAGGTAAGAGGAAGAATAAATAAGACAAAAAAAATGTTGTGAAAACATACTACGTTTTCATTAGAGTTTATAAAGTTAAACAAGATAAATAATAATTTTTTTAATAAAATTAACATTTCTTTTTATGAAAAGCCTTATTTGAAACACTTTTGTAAGTTAAGGATAAATCAGAAGAAAAAAAAAAAAGAACTAAACCAAAACAAAATCAAGAGCTAAGAGACTAATCTACTAACAAAACAAAACGCTTTTATTACCTATTCATACCTTTAACTTATAAAAGTGTTTTAAATAATTTATTTTTCTTGTAAAAATATTGATTCTGTCAAAAAGTTATTATTCTTCTTTTTTATTCCTTATAAACTCACGTAAAAACATAGTTTATTTCGAATGTTTTTATATTTTTTTTCTTCTCTTTTCTTGTTTTCATGACACGTTTTTTTCTCACTTCAAAGTTTGATAATAATTTTCTTGTTTTTCTTTGTTTTTTCTCTTTTTCTCTTACATCTCATGTACATTTTTTTTCTTCTTTGAATTTCAGCAAAAAAATATTTTCTTTTCTTTTTCTTTTATTTCTTCCTTGTTCATGGGCAAGTTTCTTGTCAAAAATTAATGAAAGGGTTTTCAAAGAAAGAGTTCTTAAATTATGGTCTCGCAGATATTATTCTCAAGAACTAAGAATATCTTGATTTGATTGTTTAAACGTAAAAGGAATGTGATAATTAAAAACAAGACTTAATGCTAACAATTAATTGAAGAGAACAATGATGCAACATATGGGAAAAATTGAATGAAATGAGCCTAGGACTTATGGTTTCATCTATTACAGTTCTAGATATTCTAATTATTTTAATCCCAAAATTGATATCCGAATATTTGCCAACCACTCAAACTTGTTCTATTAACACTCAATGATCAAGTAAATATAATTGTTAATATTATTTTTCTTGAGCAATCACCCCCAATGATCATGCAAGGCAAATGGTATAGAAAGCATAGACTCTATAAGTTTGTTAATTCAATAATGATTGAAAGAGAGGAATTGAGTATGATTAACCTAACCTTTTATTTCGTTTTATCCTATAGTTTCATTAATTACACGTGATACGATCGCCTGTAATGCAACTAATTATAGGATGCTAAGGGTGATTAATTCTTAACATGCACAATATGATTCAATAGGATAAAAGACAAACAATAAAGGAAAATTAATACCGATATTAAAAGTAAAATCACACAAAGTATACAATAGGATTCTCATAACCCTGGCTATGGATTTACTTACTCATAATGAAATACACAACGAAAAACATAATGAACCAATCCATAAAACACTAAGAAGAATTCAAACAAGAGAAACCCAAAAGGAAAAAAGATAAAAAGAATTCTTGTTCTCCAAAGGGGTGCTCAATCACTCGCTCTGACTTCAAAGGGATTCGTCATCTTTGTCAATAATCTCCAATAACTCTCAACGATAAAGTGAGTAAAAAATAAGAAGATATGTGGAGAAGTAGAAAAAAGTAAAAAAATTTCAGGCAAACATATTTATAAATGAATTATTCCTATTAAGTTATGTTGCATATACTTTGACTGTATGAAATTCCATATACTAGAATGTAGACAGGTGATCTGTGCAGTTACTAGATGGAAGTTGTGGGTTGCAGTGTCATTTGGTTGATCGTTAAGTTAGACTAGTGGCAAATATTTTAATTGAATACTAAGGATTTTATATAACCATTACTCCTTTTAAATGGTGTTTTATCTGATTGGATTATATGAAAATTGTATAGTTGTTGGATAGGCAGCAGTGTATTCATAGTGATGTGTGATGGTATTGTTGAAGATGATTAGCAGTATAGTTCAGAGATTGACTGTTAAGTGTATTGTGCATGTGATAACCTAGGAATTATATCCAAGGAGTCTCCTTCTAGGGAGAATTAAGAGTTCTAGATGTTGAATGTCTCGCTCAAGCGAGACTAAGTTGCGTTGAATTGGGCATTTTGGAGCGTTTTTACTCAAGTGAGACATGATAAGATCTCTCCAACTGTCCCCTCGCTTAGGCGAAACAAGCTCGCTGAAGCGAGAAGTCGCAGGAAAACTAAGTAGCTCTCTGGACCCAATCTCACTCAAGCAAGAACGTTGCTCGCTCAAGTGAGATGCAACTTGCTCAGGCTCGATGTCCCATGCTCAAGCAAGAATAGCAGAAGTCTGAGAGGTTCCACTGTTTGATCTGCTCGCCCAGGTGAGGATGAGCTTGCCTAAGTGAGAACAGGGCTCGCTCAAGCGAGGTTTGGCTCGCTTAAGCAAAAACGTATGAGCCTGAAGGGGTATTTAAGGAACCCTAGCTTAAAGAAACACTCATTTCTCACCAAACAACCTTCCTCTCTTATTTTCTCTCTGTTCTCTCATCTCTTCCCCTTAGAGAAAGCTCTCTCGAAGCTGAATTTCTTCCCGATCCAAGTGAGAACATCTATCTCATCAAGATCTAAGTGAGTTTTCAGAGCTTAGTCCTCCATCTTTACTCTTGTTCCTTACTTTCTCTTTATCAAGAGTTTTACACCATGTTATTCTGAGTGGATTTGAACTGTTCAAGTCGTACTTCATATCCAAACGTTGGAT